CAGGTTTTATAGATCAGAAATAGAAAAGTAAAGCCATAAAAAGTAAGGAAACAATACATTTTCATTCAAACAAGAGAACTGTGGAGAGTAAGCGGAGAGGGGCACTATAAACGATGATACTAGAGCAACAGATGGACACGGGGACTGCCCCGAGCAAACTAGGATGCGTGATCACCCTCGACAAAGGAGGGGAGGAGCACGCGTACTAGCTGTGGTCATTTTAATGACTGCTGTGCTTGAACTTCACATCTATCTGGCCCTGAGCTTCCTAGGGGCCCGGGAGAATGGAGAATGGAATGAGACACACAATTTCTTCACAGAAGGAAGCACACCATTTTTTCAAAAGCCATCCATTTTCCATTATTAAATACATTTTTGTTTATTTAAATATCCTTACTGAAATGCAATTTAAAGAATATCTCGAAAAAAGGAAAGTATTACCCATAACTCTACCATTTAGCCTGAGGGCAGATACTGATGTACAAAGTTGTAATCATAGTATACTTATAACTCTGCACCTTTGTTTTCAACTTAGTATCAAATCACAAACATTTTTATGTTTCTACATAATTTCCATGTGAGTAAGTCTGCATAATAGCCCATTTGATATATCATTATCTACTTAACCATTACCCTACAATTAACAAATGTATATAAATTAATATCGATCATTAGGCTGTTTCCACTTACAAGTTTTTCTTTCTTTATATAGTGCTATAATAGATGCAGGACTATGTTTTTGCTTAAATTATTTCTTTAGGATACACTTCCAGAAATGAAGCCACTGAGAGTGTATAAACAATTTTATTAATTTTGATAGCTACTGCTAAGTTGATTTCCCAGTGAGTCACCCCAGAGGTCAGCGAACCATATGGCAATTTTCCTGTCATCTACGACTGCTTTCACACTGTAACAACACAGCTGAGCAGCTACCACAGAGCCCACAAAGTGTAAACTATTTATGATCCGTCCTTCTACAAAAAAAGTTTGTCAATCCCTGGGTTTTCCTAATGTACACTCCCACAAGCAGTGTGGGAATGCACAGGGTACCACGTTCTAACAGAAATGAATTATGTGGGGCCCTACAGGGAGCTCAGACATTTTCTTCCACAACACATTTGTAGCAGATGTACGAGGTAGAAACTGCTAGCTGGACACCATAACTCACTCTTTCCTTCTTCCACAGTAATATGATGGTAGGATGTGGCTCTCTAGCAACCTGCCCCCCCAACCTTTGCAGCTAGTTGTCGTCATGTGATTAACCTCTTCCCAATGGGATGGGAGTGGAAGTGATGTGAGCCACTTTTGACTCATTTGCCTAAGAGGAACTCTCTGGCCCTGGATTTCCATTGTTAATTTCTATCTTGTTTGAATCATTGCTTTCTTGAGTTAACAACAGTAACTACTATCACCCTAACTAATGCAGAAACTGGTACTAGAAGTGGAGTGTTGTCATGATAAAAGCTAAAATTAGTGGCATTGACTCAGTGGCCAGTTAGTAATGAAGAAGAATCAGATACAGCAGGCATGAAAGCCCTTGTTAGGTAGTGGCAAAACATTTGGTAAAACTTTTGCCTATGATAACTTCAAAAGCATACCACATACCAGCAGCTCTAGAGAAAGAAACTGGAGAAAACAGAATGTTAGTGGATGTTAGCTCCTTCTTGATAAATCTAGCAAGTTATTATAAAGAAAGACAAGAACTGCCCAGTTTGCAAGCAAAATTAAAAGGGACAAGAGAAAAATCAGAGGCTGGGTCACAGAGTATTAAAAAGCTAACTGCTTCTGTACCCTAAATAACAGAAGGTAAGCAGGCTGTTGCTCCAAATCGTTCTCAGAAACTTCTCTAGACCGAATGAAGGCACCCCGTTCCACAGCAAAGATTAATCTAAAGGCACTGCCTTCTCACCCATGTCTGTTGTTTCAGGTGGCCTCAAGGTAGCCTCCATAAGTTGAGAAAGGTTAGACAAGAAAGCAAAGAAATAAGGCAGTCTTAACTGCTCTAAGAAAGAAACTTGGATGTGATTGCCAGCACACGGAAGTGCCTGGGAGATACAGATCAGAAGCTATTACATCTTTGGAGGCGCTGAATTATGAAAGGAAGTGTAAGCCTAACCTGAAAACATCTGCATCTATTGAACCTTGAAGAACCCTCAAGGCCCCTAAGCAGAAGTAATTCCCAAAGGAGGCAGCTCTCCAAAGCCCACAGCAGATGTGAAGTGAAGATATGGAAGATCCGGAAGACTGCTGAGAAGACGAACCTGGGGGCCCACAGGATAAGACAGACTCCTCCCCACACCTTCCAAAGAGCACAACCAGGTCTAATCTTCTTTCACTGACACAGTAGGGGATCCTCACAGTTCCTGTCCAGCAGAATTCCATCATTTTTACGGACTGGTGGTTGCTGTGTATTTCCCATCCTAACTGGCTGTGGCTGCCCACCCAGAGACGGCACTTCCCAACTTGCTGTGCCACTACCCGTGGTCATTGGATCTGAGTTCCCTTTCTGGTATGTGAGCATGTCAGTTCTGCCTCGCTGGCTTAAGACAAAATGTCTAGCCTAGCCTTCTGTTCTTTCTTCTCTTCCTGCTGCTGGCCTGGCTGCAACTGGGACAACTTGGAAGTCCCAGGACAATGAAGATGACAGAGCTGCCATCAGCCTAGGCCCCTGAGTGATGCCATAGATGGGAACCATGGAATGTTCTCCCTGGATTGTTGCCTGAGTGAGAAAATCTTATTTTGTTGAGCATTGGTTGCACTCTGGGGGTCTTTTTTTTTAAAAAAAAAAAAACAGAAACTAGTGTTACCCTAATACAATACAAAAGGACTTAACAGAGAACTATACCTGAGTATCCTCTTGATAATATTTTAATGAAATCAATTTTATTCAAATAATTTTAAATGAAACATTCCATCAAAATGTAAATTGAAAAGTAGAACTACATGCTATAAAGCGACTATAATCATGAGAATAATTACGATGAAAAACAGATCATTTTATTAAATTCAAGCTAGGTACTCTTGCCTGTAAAAGACTTTTAGCCTGAGGCCTATCATCTCCACTAAAACTAGACATTAAAAATATTCTGGCACAAAACTGTACTGTTATCTCCTTGAAATCAGAATGACTAAAAGAGAAACGAAGAAAGAACGATTTTCTCAAGACGTGATTTAAGGTTCTCTCGGTCTGTATCCATTTGGCACCTAAAGCCATGTTGGGTAGCAAACAGCAGAGAGATGCAACCAGTGGGACATATGACACTGAAGGACTTAAAGGAAGTTTGCATTCAAACAGCAGATTGAGTGCAAGACCACAGCCTTCCTTTCACGAATCGAATCACTACTAATTACAAAATATGTATGTCTTCACGTTCCAAATAATGTCGGAAAACAAGAACGAACACAGTTAGTAGACCATAAATTATGAGGAATATATGAAATGCCTGAGAATGGAAAGCAGCAGATGGAGGAAATGAAGTTCAAAGTGGTTCCCAAAGGCAGATGCACCAAAAGTGGGTTCTGAGGATGTCTAGAACTCAAAGTGGAAACTGAAAGCTGGATGACTGGCTGGCATTCTAGGAACAAACAGAGCAGCCTGCTGAGTTCTCCTATCCTGAGTTTGTACCAAGTACCTGGGAGCCGAGGCATCTGCCTCAAGGAAGGAGTACTGAGTGCAGGGACCTGAAACAGTGCCATGAGGAATGCAACCACCCAGAAAACTAAAAGCCAGTTCACCTCACTCAGCAGAGCATCCCTATTTCCTCACAACCACGGCAAGTAGGAGCAGTAAGAGTCACAGCACCACTAACGTGGAATCTCAAATAAAAAGTTGTGCACGGAGCCAAGAATCATTTTTTTACCCATTAATAGGCGGCAAGAATTGAAGTCTAATGGCATGGGTATGGGGAAGCAGGCATTGCTATGCTCATAGTAGTGTACCTGTTTCAGAGGGTAATCTGGCAGTACCTACTACCGCTTACACTGTGCACTCACTCTAACTCAGCAATTTCTTTTCCAAGAAAGGCATGCCCATCAGCATATGGAGGCAAACAAAGGACATTCCTTTTGGCAAATAACTGGAAACAACCTTAATGTCCATTAATAGTAAAATCGTATATATAATAGAAAACTATGAAGCCATTAAAAAATATTGGGATAGAGCTATATACGTGACATGGAAATAACTCCAAGAAATCGTGATACATTTATAAAAGGTAACTGCAGAACAGTCGAGCTAGTATGATCTTGTATTCGAAAAACAGAAAATAATCTAAAACGTGTGTGTACACAGTGCATGTATCTATGCACGTAAACAGCTACGACAGGGTTCATACCGAATTGTTAACAGTGGCTACGTCTCGGGAGGGGGCTGGGATGGAGGGGGTGATCACAGCATGATTTACCTCACTTGAATGTTATTTTTCTCAGTTTGATCATTTTATTCAGGAATATATTTATGCCATTTGTCTAATTAAAAAATAATGAGGCAGCACTTAAGGCAGTGCCTAGCATATAGCAGGTGCTCAACAAATGTTAATTCAAACTTTTACATATATACGTATATATATGACTATTTTAATTTGTGTCCTTAGAACCTATAAGGACTATCATGATTTGGAAACCAGACTATACAAAACCATGACCAAAGAAGATATTTTGAAGCATTAAAAGCGTAAATATAAAGGACAATGTAGCATGATGATTTTATGGCTAAGGTTTAACACATGAGAAGGCAATAAATAAAGTGGTGGAATTCTTCCTTGGTATAAGTACTCGAAATAAGGAAGACGGAAAGGGGGCATTACTAGGGGGAAAGGGAATTCACCAAATAACCTAAAACAGAAACCCAGGGTCTCAGTGAATTCACACAGGATACAGCAATAAGCAGTAAGCAAATGCCTCCAGCAGAGCCTCATAGAAGGGCACAGAGCACCCACAGAAGGTCATCTCACCAGAGCCTCATGGAAGGGCACACAGCACTCACAGAGTGGTCATCTCACCTGTTGTCTTTGCTGAAGGGGTGGTGGACACTCCATTGAGCTCACTAGGACTCCTTTTTATGGGCCGTGGCTTGTACTCTCGTCTGGGGACATTGGACGCAGCCGATATTCTGAAACACACATTTTAAGATCAGTCAGACATCTGATGAAGAAAGCAAAGCCTTGATGAGCCTACAAACCTAGGTTCTAGGTGACGGTCATGAAGGAGATGATTTTTACATGTTGATTCTTGAGTAGCCCAAAGTGACAGCTGCAATATGCCACACGTAGTTTTTCAACTGTATGCAGACATACTTTGTTTTATTGCACTTCGCAGATACTGTGTTTTTTATAAATTGAAGGTTGGTGGCAACCCTGGTAGAGCAAGTTTATCGGCACCAGTTTTCCAATACTTTCGCTCACTTCCTATATCTGTGTCACATTTTGGTAATTCTCACAATATTTTAAACTTTTTCTTTATTATTACATTTGTTGTGGTGATGATCTGTGATCAGTGCCTTTTGATGTTACTACTGTAATTATTGTGGGCCCCATAAAATGCACCATATAAGACAGCAAACTTAATTGATAAATGTTGTGCGTGTTCTAACTGCTCCCCCTGACCTGCCGTTTCCCCGTCTGTCTCCGTCTCCTCAGCCTCCCTTCTCTCTGAGACACAATAATATGGAAGTTAGGCCAATTATTAGCCCTACAATGGCCTCTAAGTGTTCAAGTGAAAGAAAGAGTTCGCACATTTCTCACTTTAAATCGAAAGATAGAAATCTTTTAAGTTCAGTGAGGAAGGCACCTCGAAAGCCAGGACAGGCAAAAAGCTAGTCCTCTTGCACCAAACAGTTAGCCAAGTTGGGAATGCAAAGGAAAAGTTCTTGAAGGAAATTAAAAGTGCTACTTCAGTGAACACGCGAATGATAAGGAAGCGAAACAGCCTTATTGCTGATATGAAGAAAGTTTGAGTGGTCTGGTTAGAAGATCAAACCAGCCACAACATTCCCTTAAATCAAAGCCTAATCCAGAGCAAGGCACTAACTCCCTCCACTTCTGTGTAGGCTGAGGGAGGTGAGGAAGCTGCAGAAGAAAAGTGAAGCCAGCAGAGGTTGGTTCGTGAGGTTTAAGGAAGGAAGCCGTCTCCATAACATCAAAGTGCAAGGTGAAGCAGCAAGTGCTGATGTAGAAGCTGCAGCAAGTTGTCCAGAAGACCAAGCTCAGACCACGAATGAAGCTGTGACTATGCTAAACAGCAGATCTTGAGTGTAAACGAAACAGCCTCCTGTTGGAAGAAGACGCCGTCTAGGACTCTCACAGCCAGAGAGAAGTCAATGCCTGGCTTCCAAAGCTTCAAAGAACAAGCTAACTGTGTTAGAGGCTAATGCAGTTGGTGATCTGAAATTGAAGCCAGTAGTCACTTACCATTCTGAAAATCCTAGAGCTCTCAAGAGTTAACAAGAGAACTAGAATTAGAAGTGAAGCCTGAAGATGAGATTGAATTGTTGCAATCTCACGATAAAACTTTAGCAGAGGAGGAGTTGCTTCTTTTGGATGAGCAAAGAAAGTGGTTTCTTGAGGTGGAATCTACTCCTGGTGAAGACTGTTGAAATGGCAACAAAGGATTTAGAACATTGCATAAACTCGGTTAATAAAGCAGCAGAGAGTTTGAGAGGACTGACTCCAATTTTGAAAGAAGTTCTGTGGTGGGTAAAATGCTATCAAACACCGACTGCTACAGAAAAACTGTGAAAGGCAGAGTCATTTATGCTGAAAACTTCATTGCTGTCTTATTTTAAGAAATGGCCTCAGCCACCCCAACCTTCAGCAACCACTACCCTGATCAGTCAGCAGCCGTCAACATGGAGGCAAAACCCTCCACCAGCAGAAAGATTAGGACTCACCGAAGACTCAGGTGATGGGTAGCACATTTTAGCAATAGAGTAGTTTTTAATTAAGGTATGTATATTGTTCTTTTAGACATAATGCTTTTGTGCACTGAATAGACTACAGTATAGTGTAAACATAACTTTATATGCACTGGAAAGCCAAAAAAATTCATGTGGCTCACTTTATTACAATACTCGCTTCATTATGGTGGTCTGGAACCAAATCCGCAATATCTCCGAGGTATGCCTATATTTGTGAAGTATTTGTCTCTCAAAAAGTCTCTGAGGCATCTAGGAAGTACCAGGAATGAACTGAGCACTCAACAATGTTAGGTGCCTTCTCTTTCTCCTCATATAAAGATAGAATTACGAAAGCATGCTCATGCGAGCAGTCAATGAACCACCCACCTACAAAGGTGGATGCTTCAGAGACTGGACACACCTTTTGTCTTCCCTTTATTGATTTAAGCAAAAATCCCTCCAAATGTATTCATCATCAAAATCCTCTGTATAAAACAATTTTCTGTTATTAAACTTGGTTTAAAAAGTGTAGTTTTTTAATGCATCATTTTAATTAATAGGGTTACCGTGCATGCTACATATATCAGTAATTTTCAGAAAAATAGAGAATACGTTTATCATTAAAGTCATAAGAACACAGCAATCTTTGATCATTCAGAAGATATTTTTGACTCTTTCAGTATCTCCCAGAGTCAATGTTATGAACACAGGCTGATTTATGCTGGTGAAGTAAAAACCTATCTTTTTTTCCGGATAACTACATACTTTCTGAATATGATCTCACTTTTCTCCACACCCCTAGACGTTGCAGAGGGAGGTATATGACATAGCACCCTCAGCTAAACTCTCATTGAGCCGGCAGTGAATCCAGAACAGCTCTGTAGGGGCTCAACTCGAAGGCGAGTGAGCAGCTTTGCCCAGTTGCCCTAAACATAGGTCATGAAAAAGGACTTTAGAGAAAAGAACAAGGGGGAAAGCTGCCAGATCCCTTTTCCCAGTTCTGTCCTATTGGCCAAAGCTGTGTACTTATCATCTCGGCGCTACCCCACACCCAACCAAGAGCGCCAGCTGAAGAAAATTCAAAACAGAATGGGGCGGGGTGGGGGGGAGATGGAGAGACAGGCAGGGATACTGATTTCGATTGATTTTAATTCCGCGGCCTCAGGCTTGTAATGAACGTGAGGGCTCTTACCGCATCTGTAGCTTGTTTTGTAGCTCCTGCAGGATCTCTGTGGTCTGTTTGTGATAGTCTAAAGCTGCCTCTATAAACACGGCCAACTGGCTGACTTGTTCTACCTGCAGCAGAAGTGGAAAATTACTCCATGGAGGCCAGAGCCTGGGTAACGTTCAGAGAGATAGGAGACCAGCAACAAAGACCCAGCTTTGCAGGGAAGCCCCCTGTCTGCCTCGGCTCTGGTCCATTTCATTTAATTTCATCTCGGAGCCCTGCATAATAATCACACAGGTCGTGGTATAGAGCTATAAATGCTGGGGAAAAAACATGTTCAAATTTATTTGTGATTATGAAGCTGATTTAACGCAATAAAAAAAAGCTTATTTTTTCCAATTAGATGATATTCTCTGGAGATGTTTATGCTATAAAGCTCATGGATCTGAAAACGGAGAGATAAAGCTTTTCCAATTACAAGAGAAGCCAACGTTTAGTAAATGAACTGCTTCCTTCTCTACAGGCATTTTCTAGCTACGTCAAATAAAGAAACTAAGCGAGGGAAGCTGTTCTCAGGTAAGAAGGGAAGCCAGGGAGCAGGGCATGGACCAGGGCAAAGACTTGCCAGGCCCCTACCTGTCTTTGTTGCTATCAGAACACAATCATTTCCCTGAAACATACAGCCCAAAGGAACGAACTAGAAAGACTCTGGCATCTCTCTTTCCCATGAACCAAGACATTTATGAAATTATTAACCAAATTACAGTGGATGTAAAAAAATGAAATTAAAAAGTTATGTCATGTAAGAAAGCCTAGAAAACCTGGGGATGCATAATTTGTGGAAGAGATGTCTCCAGTAGGGCCTGAGAGCCCCCTTCCCTGCTTCCCCACGTGGCTGAGGGGCTGCTACAGAATGAGGGATTAATTAAGCTGACGTCCGCCAGCCTCAGAGGCAGGACCACTGGGTGGAGGTGGTGGGGGCCCCAGGATGAATCCCATGAAACCTGGAACCAGACAAAGGCACACATCAGAATCAACCCCCTCCTCCCAAGCTTCCCCAAAGCCTCTGCGTCATCTCCTCCCTCGGTGTGCTCATCAGTTTAGGGCCAAGCCTGCCCTGCATGTTCGTTCAGCCTTACACACTCACCCTGCAAAAGCAACCATGGGTTCGTTTGTCTTCAAAGATCCAAGCTGCCTGCGTTTGCTATTATAATCCATGCTTTAGCTGTCTGCACTTTCATTTTCCTTCCCCACCTGCACCCCTTTAAACATGGGCTCGATGCTCATGTCAGGCGAGCACGGAGTTCCCCGTGGGCCGCGCTGGGATCAGCCTCCGCACGAGGAAATCCCGTCATATTACAGCTACTTGACTCTGCTCTGTGGCTGGAACAGCAACAAGCCAAGCCTTAAATTTCCAAAAACCCAACAAACAAAACAAAGACAGACTGGCCCCTACAAAAGCCTACGGATTTCTTCAGTTTCACCTCTTTGGCTTTCACACATACTTTTAAATAAGTCCAGCACCACGGCCTAACACGATCACAGCAGAATTTGCTACAGAAAGGAGTTCCTTCCTCACAGAGCAAACGCTGTGTGCTGGGTAAAGTCTCCACCACGCTCCTCTGTCTTCAGTAAGGCGGATTTGTATTTTTAAGGCCCACTGTGAAATATGCTTGACATTTTATAATTTTTAAGGGAACAGGGAAAGGTAGTTGAATGAATACTCTTTGAAACACATGTGCAATTGGGAGGGGAGGGGGGAGATGGCTGGCTGTCCTCTCTGATGTGGCTAAAACACAAGATCATGTCTTCTGGAGATGATTTTGTAACTATTCATTTGATGGCTAACCTTAGGAAGGAAATGGATCTGGGGGCCCCTTAAAACTTGGAAGACAATAGTAGTGCTATACAGTGCCTGCACATAGTAGGTGCTCAAGGCAACTCTTGAGGAGATGGTCATTGAGCTAGAAGTCTCTGTGGACAGTGAAGCCATGGGGTGCCACACGTGGATCATCTGCCTTTCCTTGACAGGAAATGGAGGTGTTAGCTGCCCCCAGGTGGTGAGCAGTGAGCTGTGTGCAGGTGGCCTCTGCTGCCCAAACCCCAATTAGAGCTGGCAGAACCAAGGCTGCAATAAACCCAGGCCGTGCAAGAGCCAAAGCCTGTCCAGAAGGTGAAAGATTTCTCCCACTGGCCACACCACTCAATTTGGCAAACTCACCTGTTGAATCAGGGGAAGTCACTGGGGATGACCACTTCTGGCTGAGACCTGAGCTGCCACCTGGCTGGGGCCATCTTGGGAGTAAAGTGGGACCTCGCACTCTGGAAGGGGTCACATGACATACACAGAGGAGCAGAACTGCCAGAGAAGCAGCTCCCGTCTCTGAGAGTACAGTCACTTGCTGCTACAGATGGGCTCACACGCAGCTCCGATGCCTAAAGTGGGAAACTCAAAACACAACAGACTTCCCCAGAAGAAGAGATGAAGGAAGCAGAGGCCGAACACAGGCACTGCTGGGTGACAAGTGGGTGGAGTGGGGACCTGGATGCTACCTGGGAGATTCATGGAACCCTGAAACCAGAAGAGGCTTTTGACAGAAAAATAGCCCCGAAGAGGTCCAAGTCCTATTTCCCCAGGCCTGCTCAAATGTTACCTTACATGGCAGATTACGTAAAGAATCTGGGATTAGGAGATTACCTGGACTATCCGGGTGGGCCCAATATAAGGAGGAGGCTCAATGAGAGGAGGGCAGGAAGGTCAGAGTCAGAAAAGGAGATGTGTTGGTGGAAGCAGGGTCAGGAGGAGAGAGCTAAAGATGCCCCACTGCTGGCTTTGAAGGTGGAGGAAGGGACTGTGAAATCAAGGAATGCAGGTGGCCTTTAAAAGTTGGAAAAGACAAAGAAATGGGTTCCTCCTTACAGCCTCCAGGAGGAACGCAGCCCTGCAAATACCTTGATTTTAGGACTTCCAAGCTCCACTCTTTAAGATGAATAAATTCGTGTTGTTTTAAGCCACAGACTTGTGGCAGTTCAGCAGCAATAGGATACTGCTATTTCAGAGCTGCTTTGCTCATTCTCAAATGGAGCAAAATTTAACAGTGGGACTAGCTCTGATCAGGCACCCCTGCTTATAGGGGTGGGAGTTATTACCCTGAGACTTATAGGAAACAAACTCATGGGGGTAATGAACCCACTGAGGCTGTTGGAGGTACCCTAGCCCAGGGGATGGGGGCAGAGCGTAGATGCCCCCATACTGCTGTGGACTAAGAGTGAGAGAAATTCCCAGGAGCTGTGGAAACTCCAGGGACACTTGAGCGGGATCTGAGGCATTGGGTGGCCTGTGGACCAACAGCAGAGGATTTGGGCTATACCCAAAGGAAGAATGGCTCAAAGGTACTACATATTGTAGTAAAGGCTAAGATCAACTTGGATCAACTCTGTGCAAGAGGGATATGGAAACTGCGGTGGCTGAGAAGGAGCAGGGCTGTGAAATCTCCTCCTCAGACCCTCCAACAATCGGTTACCAAGGGACTGGTCAGCCGTCAGGTCTGTGGGCAGAGAGGCACACTCTGAAGACCACGGCGAGAACAGAGATAACTTGGTGTGAACAGGTAATGCCCTGCCCAGATCCCTGCAATGTGCAGTGTACTTGGCACGCAAGAATAAGGAAACGTGCATCTTCTGGGCCCTGACAAGCCCTCCCCTTTCACAACTGAAATGATGCATTTCCAATGGAGACCATCTTCAGTTTTAATTGTGATAATCCAAATGATTTCCTGCTCTATCGTATCAAAGACCTCCACTCTTTGTGGATTCCTCGGAGAAGCTGGGGGAAATTTTCTCATGAATTTTACAGTCTGGTCATAAACAGATGCTTTTTCCAATAAGGCAAAAGCCAAAAGGCTGAGGAAGGCCATTAAATTCCTATTAAACTAATAACACGGACAATAATCCCTGACACTTTTATTCTTCGTTTTACAGTTCTAAAGAATTCCTCACGTGCAGCCATTCATGGGCCTGATACTCTGAGGTGAAGGTGTCTTCCTAGAGGCGCACAGCTGTGCAGAAGCAAGACCAGAACCGTATTTCAGGTCTTTCGCGCTTGGTTCAGCGTGCTTTCTCTCTGCTAGTCCAGTGCTTCCTAAATGTCATATTTCATACGTCACAAGTGCCTTGTCATGCCAATAATAATAATAATAATAGTGGTGTGAAGAGTTCTATGGTTGAAAGATTTGAGAAACCGCCTTGTCTATCCTCTCATAGGAATCTCTTGGAGATTAATTTTTCAGACATTCATATAAAGACACTGAAAAGTCTTGTGACAAAGAAAACCCAGACAGTTTTGGTTAACTCAGGGTTTCCCAAACTTACTTGACCACAGAGACATGATTAATGTCACAGATACCACACCCCGTGAAATGAATTTTGGGAACCGCCACCCTAAACCAATGGAAAGAACCCAGGAGCCTAGAATCTAGTAATGCCGCTTGTCCTTGTTGGGAGCCTGTGGACAGAGGGAGGATCCCCAGGTGGGGAATCTGTACCAGGAGATCTAGAGAGGACTGCAGGTGCCTGGCCTCACCAGACTGAAATGGGCATCTTCTGGCTGATAGCTCTGGTTCCTGCCAATGTCAAAAACCTACATTCCATAATTTCAGGTTGTGAGGAATAAAATTCTCTGCAAAGACAGCAGAGGAGAGTGTTAGTGGGCCTGTGGGTGACTTAGTGTTCCCAAGAAATGGCGGTGGAGACCGCGAAAAACCTGCTGAATATCCTGCACCCCCACCTCAGAGCTAATGGTAGTGGACACAGCGGCCCTTCTTCAGGGGAGGGCTGTTCTGGGTGCTTCTGGGAGCCCCACCAGTCCCAGCCTGGCACAGCAGAAGTAATCAGCCACAGACCTGCCCCTCTGAGCTTGTGGGAAAGCTCGTGGACCAAAACACCTCCTGGCTTGCATCTGCATGTAGAATAATGAGGGTCCTCTGCCTCAAGCAAGAAATGAAGTGATGCTCAAGGTCTCCAATCCAGCTCTTACCGACAAGACCCCCAAGGACGACAGTGTGGGGCCAAAGGAGACGCTTGCCTTTGATTCTCCCATTCCCAGCTCTGCCAGAAATAGGTCGGAAGATGGAAGCCACTTTCCCTCAGGAATTAATGCAGAGTAAACAATTCAGGTCCCTCTCATCACCCCTTCCTTCCTTCCGCACCACAGGAGGAGGAGTGATCTCTGATGGATGAGATCAAGGGGCCCTGACGAGCAGGGTGACTGGACCCTGCACAGGAAGCTTGGCCCTGGGGTCTGTGTTCTTTAAGAAAGTAGGTTGTGAAGGAGCCAAGAGCTGGTGGCTACATCTAGGTTCCTCCCTGCCCACCCCACGCTCCCTGAGGGTGGCTCTGAGGTCTAGACTAGGCCTGGCGTAGGTAGCGGGAGGCCCACCACGGGCCCAGGCCGGAGCTGCCCCTGCCCACAGAGACAGCCTGTCCTCTAGGCAAGGGGCTGGCTTGTCATCCTTGTTGGGCTGCCCCATCGGTCCTTCAGTTGGGAGAAGGCAGATTTGAGGACAGATGAGCAACCACACCCTGGAAACCTGTACAAATGGCCTGTTGGCCAGAAAATCCTAGGAAGAGTTGCCTAACCTGCATTTGGAGACCCACAGAAGACCAAGTCTGTTAGGTCAGAGCTCTCCTCAAATCAGGCAGATCTTTGGCAAGTAATTTTTTTAGGCATTATCTGGTGAAGCTTTTAGTGTGTCTTAGCCAGGGCCATGGCACATGAAGGCTGGGAAGACACTGCCTGCTCCCTGGAGAGTGAGACTTTGGGGTCTGCCTCGTTAGTGCCAGAGACGGGCAGGCGGCACCAGACACGCCGCCTCAAGTGGCCTCCCTTCCTGCACGCTGCTCTGCTCTCCACTTTCTCCCTGGAGCGAGCACTTGCAAGCCCTCTCCCCCGGCCTTCCTCACCCCTCCACCTGTGGATGAGATTGGGGAATGTTCCTTAATGAGCAGGATGGGTTCTCTGCCTCAAAACCCGGCTCCACATGACCAGAGGCCGCCTGTCTCAGACAGTGTGCAGGTGGGTGAGTCAGGCTGGCTCCTGCCAAGGAGGCTTTCGTCAACGGGGGTGCAAGGAGCAGAAAGTGCGATGTGGATGTGGGTCGGCCATGGCGTACCCTCCAACACAGGTGGCCATGGAGCCTGTATTTTATAATCATCAGGCGTTCCCATCAGTTAAAAGCACTGTGCCTTGATTTCAGTCTGGTTTGTGTCAATTCCTCAATCTGTCAGATTGAGGTGAACAGCTCTGATACCCCCAACTGCTAACCCACAATATTATAAGCTTCTCCCAGTTGTGTCTGAAAGAAGTGCCAGGGCCTAGGCCACCTGCCTCCCTGTCCTGGGGCCACATGTTTGACTAAGTCTGTCCGTCCTCAAGAAGCAGGCATGTACCTAGTGTCCAGCAGGTGCCAGGTCAAATAGAATATCCGATCCACTGGGCAAAGGCAGGGCCTGCAGACCTACTGCATTTAATCTGGGAATTAGACAGATCCCTGCCAGCTTTAGTTCCAGGATCAGTTCCTGGAAGGAAACCCAGTCATCACCAGCCATCGTGAAGCACGGCTCCTCATTTAGGCCCTTTCACCATGAAAGGAAGCAGACACCAATACAAGAGGCTGTGTGACGAAGGCTGGACATGAGGTTGGTGACCCAGAGGGAGCAGGAAGTCAGGGTTCTGTGGGCTGCAGAGCCGCTAGGCCTGGCCTGATTGTTGGGGAAGGGCCAAGGACAGGGCTGAGGGTTCAAAGTCTGCCTCATCCCAACACACATTGGTTCTCTGTCTTCCCCCAACAATCCACTGCTTACCCCAAGCACGAGGCAATTTCAGTATTAGCTTGGCAGGTCCAAGGGGTGACAGGGAGCAGATTTTCTAGACCTTGCCCCATCCAGAGGACTGCCAGACCGTCTGGGCAGGGTCCAGACACTGTCATGGGGAGGACAAGGCTGTCCCTTTCTAGGTCTAATTTCTGTTGCCCCAAGAAGAGAACGAAGGCAGTCTTCTGGAGCTTCCACAGTAACTTGGAGTCTCCTCAGCCATAAACCTGGGACGGGGAAGGGGCGAAAGCAGCTTCTCAACCACGAGCTCTCCTCACTATCATCCGCACCACCACCACCGCCGCCACCACCGCCGCCGCCACCGCCGCCACCACCACCACCACCACCACTGGGAGCCCCTTTAGCACCGCCGTCATCATCGTGAGCATCAGCAGCCACAGCATGCAGGGTGACCGCTGCAGCTCAGGACGGCGCAGGAAAGGCAGGAAGAGGGAGAGAAGGAGCCCGGGCCTGCGGCGCTCTTCACCAGCTCGTCCTTTTGGTCTCCTCCCCTCTCAGCGGCCGGCTCCCCTGGCTGCCGGCGGAGGTGTGGGTCCAGGCCCTAAAACGAGGGAGCAGCCCAGGCCCCTCAGAGCTGAATAGAGGTGCCTCCCGTCCCAGGAAACTTTCAGGGGAAACGCTGCAGCTCGTGCCTCTGGAGGGCCGACGCCAAGGCCCCTGGGGGCTTGGGTTACACTCCACCTTGCTCTTCTGCCAGGGTAGGGGTGGGGAGGGCGTAACCTATTTGTGACAAGCAGAATACTGTCATTGTCAACAAATGGACAAATGACCGAGCTTTTATAAGGAAGGGATCACTCCTGATTTTGACTGACACTAAAGGGAAAACTAAGGTCTCTTGGTCCATCGCCAAGGCCAGAGCAACTGAGACAGGCCTCCGAAAGGGAGTTCTTCACAATAGCTTATCAATGCAGATGACAAATGAAGATCATGAATAAAGGACATGGGGCAGACAGCATGTCTGACACATGAGACTCAACCTCAGAGTTTAAATCCACTTTAAAGAGTGCAGGGCTGGAAGGGCAACACTCGCTGTGGCCTGATAAGGAATGCATGCATCTGATATGTCACATTGCAAAAACTTTCTAAAGACTTCAATCAGCAAGGCAATCCAAGACAAAACAAAAGCAAAATGGCCTATTGTGTGGGGACAACTTCAAGGAAATTAAGTATTTTTTTAAGGGAAAACAAACAACATAGCAAAATAGGGAAAACTGTAACACCTCTTCTTATTTCTCATAAAATGTAAAAGACCTGATAAAATATTTAAAAGGAGAAACAGGGTGTACTTTTTGGTACTCAGAACATGGGAATTTTCAAACTGTTTCCTCCAGGATTCATGTCTTGTTAACATTGGATGTAACTGCCCCCACCCCACATCACCATGGCAGATCAAAAGGTGCTCAGTACATTTGGTCTGACTTGACTCAAAAGATGCAAGACCTCAATGTACTTTTTAATAAATTATTATAAGTAGAACATAGTTTTGCAGATAAATAACTCATCTGACTTGTCCCAATAGGTTTGAAAGTTCAACAGACAGGTCCAAAACGAATGCTGGGCTGAGATAACTCCTGGCATCACTGAGGCCGGCCTTAGGGCAGGACCTCCGGAGGGGACAGGTGCCAAGGGTTCTTCTCATCAGGCAGTGAAAAATGCCAGACGAGTCCTCATCGCCAAGGCAAAGAAGGGTGACCTTCGGCCTTCACGGTGCCCAGTTGGGGGTCACCATCCTCTTTAGTTTCATTTAATCTAACTTCACTTGGGCAAATAAAATAAGAGCTGGTGGCAAGAATCACGGTACGACAGAACGTCAGCACCGCTGAGGGATCCGTGTCGAGACCTTCACCATCCCCAAGTTCACAAGCACCACTGTGGTACAGCTGGAAATTTACGTCATGCTTTTAGATCCTAAAGGTTCACTATGACAAGTGAAGGCATCAGAGAGCTGGGTGATGAGTGAGGCTCTCCCACCAGCCAAGAGCTGCTCCACCTAAAACATCTGCCTCCCACAGTGCTTTTCACGGTCTTAGCAAAACTGCAAATTACCACATGGCACGGGCTTTCCATCCTCCTGCAAAACCGCTAAGGCTATGGTCTCAAATACAAAGGCTAGTCGACCATGCACCTCCCCCCAGACAGCCCCACCTCCCCGGGACCGATCTGAGCACATCTCTGAAGCATTCAGGATAAACAGGACTTCTCCAGATCAGAGATACGACTTGGGACTTGCCAAATGTCTGAAGCTATTTCTGAGGCAGGAGATAACGGTTACAGAAAACTCCAAAAACTTATAACCACTAAGGCTCCAGAGCTTCTCAACATGCTGACCCTTGTCATATAGTCAATGCTTTCATTCACATTAAAGTCTCCTGTTTGGTTTAAATACTTACATCATTTTCTAAAAAATTAAACATGCTTCTTTCAGCCAACTCCTTTGACTCTTCAAATTTTTCTACTGCTTGTCTGACTTCTTCGTCTGGTATCTTACCTACTCGCTTCTTTTTATAATCGTAATCCAGGCGCCGGCCCTCCAGCTTTTTCAGGTGGTGCTAAGGGACAAAGGAGTTCATCAGAGACCTGTTACACTCAAACACGGCGTAAAGAAATCTTCATCATTGCTATGAAAATAGTCATTGCTTTTTCTCAGCCTGAAGTCAAAAGGGAAGAAACCCACCTTCCACTTCTTTTGCATGCACTCAAGCATCTATTAGAGGCTCCCTTCGCTGCAGGTCCACAAGGAATATTTGTGGAATGAATGAATGGGTAGATGGATGGGCGTATAGATTATAGAACGAATGAGTGTCTACATGGAACATAAGGACGCAGTGTCAGTACTGAGATTAATTTTCCAACATTCCTTCTAGGACCCCTCACTGAGACTCTATTAATGCCCAGATAATTTCCAACCGAATTAACTATGCCAAAAATAAGGATGGTTCTTCTGGCACTATCGTCAGCTCCTCACTAAGAAGTAGATTATAAGAACACAAATTTCTAGTATCCTCTAGAATACTTTGGCATCTTCCATAAAGTTCCCAAACAATTACAGAACAAGTTGAATAAATGCCATCAATGAACGTGATGCACAAAGAGGACAGATGATCACGGGCAACCTCTGAAACGGTGGGATTTCTTTTTTAAAATATGATCTCTTTAACAAAATAAAACAATTATAAACATGAGAGCTGCCCGTTCATGGAATGCGCGGCCTTGTGTGGTAGTAAGTTCCCCATCACAGTTTGTGTTCAAGCAGAGGGATCCCACATCAGAAGTTCTGTAGAGCAGATAATTGCACAGGGCAAGGGAGTGTATGACTATAATCCCTGGAATATTTGATGTCGAAACTGTATAATGAAAACAGACTGTCCCACTGAAGTACGAGGGTGACTTGACTACTCCTTCTGGTGGAAAAACACTGGTTCTAATTTCCATGATGATTGGGTGAAAAGAGCATTTGGGACAAAAAGTCAGAAGCATCTCTCTCATATGTTCTGTGACTCTGGGCAAGTCTCTAAATCCCTCCGAGCCTCCACATGTGTGGTTGTAAAACCAGGACAAGAATGGCTTAGCCTGACTGTTTATGGGTAAAGAAATGTTTGTGAAAGCCGTCTGAGTCCATAAACGCTTTTACAGATACGTCAGTCACGTGTTAAATGTCCAAGGTACGTATAGTGCACAGCTGAGACTATGAAAAGCCCTCTGAATATTAGATTCTTAATTCTTGACCATCTATGGGATTTACACTTAGATTTATATGGTTTCTCTATCAAAGAACAGCTGAGTAACAAGAGACGCCATTTAGAAAATTATTTTTTGCACAGGGAACTGCAACATTTAAGTATATGTGTATTTTGTACCTCTCTCCCACTCACTGCTCAGATTCCACACTGGTGTCCATGGCTAGCTACCCTACTGGACCAGGCCAAGTGGAAGAGCTACGTTGTCCAGTGGGCTTTTTGTATGACTTTCTTCAAGGAAAACAGCACAAGAAAAAATGCCGTATTATGTATTTCGGCAAATGAGATGTTTGGTTTTAAGGTTCCACATCTGGGAAAGATGTTTTGGCATACCCACAACTCAGAGTGTCTCTTCTTCCCTAGAATCATCTGTTCAGGAAGAATTTGGGAGCACGAACCCCACACTAGGCATTGTGGCTACCAAAGTGAACAAAACAGGACTCCCTACCCTGAGGCACTCACTCCCCAACAGCAGAGAAAGAGCATAGTGATGCTCACAGCACAGGAAACACAGAAGGAACCCCTGATGAAGTCAGGGAGAGAACAAGAGCTTCCCAAAGGACAGGACAGCTGGGATCTGAGAGGTGAGATGACTTAGCCAGGAGAGGGGAGGAAAAGGAGAAAGACAGAGAACAGAGGGAGAGCACAAAGCAAAACATCCCCTGGGGACTGCAAGTCATTCAGTGAGGCTGCGCTGAGAGTTCAAGTGGGAAGTGGTGAGCGATCGACCAGTAGAAAGAAGGAGGGGCCAGTAATTAGGGGATCTTTACTGGATCTTTATTCCCACGTCATGGGGCAGCTACAGGGGGAAGGTATCTTAGGAAGACTGCTCTGGCTGTGGTGTGGAGAATGGACTGGAGGGGGTGAGATGTGAAGCCAGGAGTCAAGGGCTGCTGTGCTGGTGTGTTTAAATGTTAACCAAAGGAAGCCAACAGATAGAAAGAGGAAAAAGGGAGATTCAGGAGAGAGAATGACTGACAGATGCAGCAAAGGACCTGGCGAGGTGAGGGTGATGGACTCTGGGGCCCAGTGGAGGACCGTCCTGAGGGAGCAGGAGGAACATCACCTTCCCCAAGATGTAAGAGAAAGTGGACGACAGGAGTGAAGAGGTGAGGAGGGTGCAGGGGGCATGCGGGCTGTGGGGAGGGCAGAGGGATATTCTGGGAGTTCCTGAATGATTGCTTCCATTTTTCCTTCAACCTTCCCGAATTTCCCTCCCCTTCGGTTCCAGCATAAATTCTAAATGCCTTTACGGGCATCCAGGCCTTTCTGAAGGGAAGCTCTGGAATAGGGCCCAAGAATTTGCATTTCTAACATGCGAGGCTGCTGCTGGTGCAGGGACCCCACCAAGAGAAGCACTGGGCCTGAAGAAAGGAAGAGGGGACATCCCTGAGGTTCAGCCGACTTGCGAGTTGGCTGGGGCTGCCTCCAGGTCACCCTGAAGGCACTTGGGGGGAAGGTCTTCCAGTCAGCTCCACAAAGGGCGCCCAAAGAAGTTCTCAGCACAGGCTGTCCCTCTAGAGTAGAAGTCTCTGTCCGGGTAAAAGTCTCAAGGCTGTTTTTGCACATCTACAAAAACACCGCCAAGCAAGTGGCACGTGATTGACTACAGCTCCCTGAAAGTTCCCACGTATGCTCTGGAGGCCCAACTTGCACATCTTCCAAATATAAAATGTTGATTCCGAGATCCTTACTTCCTTGAAAAAGTAATGGAAAACAATAACCAACATATCAAAAGATGGTATGATTTTGACGATCAAAAAAATCCAGAACGGGAGTTATGGAATCATTTTGTTATGTGAGAGATGACTGCAGAAATATCTGTCCTGAGCTTGGCTTCTACTGGCTTCAGTAAGACACAGAGTAAAGGGCTAACTGATCCTGGGATTCTTCCCCAGTGAACCAGGTAAACATAACTGAGTTGTTTTTTTTTACCACTCACAATAAGAGGAAGCTTTCATTGAGTCCCTGTAGAAATGTTCTAAAGGGTTTAAATATAAACATCATATTAAGCAGCAACGGGCAGATTTATAGCCGAGAAAACTTACCCCAATCTCTTTTAAATCTTTGTCTTGTAGTAACTGAAGTGGGTCAATAAACGTTTGCTTTACGTTAATATCAAGAGAGTCTTTCACCTCAGCCATTAGCTTCATGGATTCACCAACTTCTATCAACGCATTGCCTTGAATAGAAAATACAAATAAAAAAGGTTCTTTAGGTGATCCAACTCCAAGTTAACAGCGACGTTCATTGAACTCTTTCCCAAAAGTTTGTGATGATCAATGGTATGTAACAAGGTCCTTAGTCTGGGACCTTTGAATCTTGACCCAGAAAAGAGAAAAATGAAAAGGGAAAGTCTTTCTACTTTACTTCTGCACTTTCTCCACTATAGAGAAAAAAACTCCGAGGCTCAGACAGACCGAGGCACTACCATAACGGCCACTAGATGGGGTCAAAGCTTTTTTTTAAACCAGTAGTTTTGTGAACTGGCACCAAGGGTTCCTTAGAAGCTCCAAAACAAAATCCCTCTTTGTAAACAATAAAAGGATTCATTCATCAGAGGCAAAGTATTAACCAGTAAAGATTACAATAGAAATAAATAAACAAAACCTCAGCTTCTAAATGCTAAGTCTTCTTGAGGCCACTCCTTGTATCCTTGAGACGGTTCTAAGGCTCCCTACTCTTCCTGATGTCAAACAAAGCTTGGCAGCGTCACATGGGACAGCCTTTCAGCAGGGTGGGCAGGGCCTGCTCTTGCAGTGAGGTCCAGGGCCAGACACGCTGGGCGTGGGCAGTGATGGGCAGCTTTCGCCGGATGACACCCAAGTGTTCGGCGCCAGCTACCCTGCAGTAATTTGCAAGCAGGTGTCCTGGTAGCCGTGCCCAGTGAGAGCGGCAGCTTTCCTAGGAGACGCCTCTGGGAAATGCTGCACTAGACTGAACTATTTTTCCTGTAGTTGGGGTTTTCCAATTGATCTCATAAAAAGGTAGAGCCTGGGGTCTCTTAATTCCCAGGCTTGAGGAAGACCTGAAATCCCAGCCTAAGAATGTGCATTTCCAGAAAATTCTGACCTTCGAGTTGTTTCCCCTACAAGTCAAGGGCATGTGCAGTTTATTCATCTGTGAAACGGGATAGCAATATCACCTCACCTCACTTTTTATTTTTTTAAAGAAATAAACTAGATAGTGTGTGTTATAGGACCTTGTAAAGCTAAGTGGAAACTGTTACCCTAGACCACAGCCGGCCAAGACCCGTTTTGGCCCACTGTAGCTTTACTCCTCCTGAGAGGCTAGGTTTCCCTAACTCCCCAGAGCCCGGTCCTAACTTGCTCTGAGATGGAAATGAGATGTCCTTTCTGAGCCTGGGGACTCTCTCCTGCCCAACTGGTCAGAAACAGAGGATACTGCCTCTGACCCCATCACTCACTGTCTCCAGTGCCCACACCACAGAATGTCAGCCAGTTTAGCTTTGACAGAAACATTTCCAAATATGTTTCTTTGAAGGCGCCAAAGATGACATTCTGAATATTGGCCGGCACCTCCATGGATTGACATCCCCTCTCCTTCCCCAAGATTAGCGTTTCCAGTTGCACAAGGACGTGGGGCTCTGCCTCCACTCACTCAGGTCTCTGCATTTAAGGAAGTTTCCCCTCTGTGGCCCCAAGAAGAGGGTATCCAACAGCACAGTGTTTCCCTCGGGACAGCAAGCAGCCCACCTGCTGCTAACGCCCTCCTGACGCCAGCTCTCTTTCTCAACGACACATTCCCTCGAGTCACAGGGCACCTGGGAAGCTACCAAAGCGGCAGCAGCTACATAAAGAAAAGGACCTAAATATCCAATAAATGGGGTTGACTGAACAAACTATGATACTTGAAACATTGGAGTGCCTTTAAAAACTATTGTAGAAGAGTAACTGTTTGATGACATGGATTGCACTATTGTCGGTGGGAATACGCAGGTTGCAGAAGAGTATTAAGGTATGTATCTTATAGCTCCACTTTAACTTTTAAAGGTTACATGAATATAAACAAGTATAAACACAAGGCACAGGGTATACACAACAGAGAGTGTGACTGGATCAGTCACTGGGTAAGTGGTCATGGGTGATGTCGGCATTTTACTTGCCTGTGTTTTATAAACTTCCTGCATTGAATATGTATTACTTTGAGAATATGAAAAAATAATAAGGGTTGTTAAAATGAAAGTCTTGTGCATAACACAGTATCGACAAAGGACGCGTTCTCGGCTCTCGCAGGTGGTGGGGGAGCACTCACCAAAAGCGGAGCCTTCCCCGAGCTCCTTCCCGTATTTCAGCATGCAGTCGCCCAGCAAGCCTTCCGTCTGCGGGTAGCCGGTGGTCTTCACCTGTCCTCGGATCTTCGACACAGTGTTCAGCATTCCTAGCTTAGCTCTGTATGCTTAAAAACATTATCATTTGTAATTCCTTAAAGTGGCAAGGTGGAGTGATGGGTGCATAGCTTTTAACAAACGTGGCCGATGAAATCGAGGTCGCCTTGGGCAAAATATCAGCGACCTGAGATGTGAGGGGACCATGTGTGAACTACCTAGGTTCTCACATGATTTTCTGGAATCTTAACCAAGGTGGGAGCTAAGGGCACCGGTGCACAGCCGCGATGGGAAATAGAAATTACGGCACACGCTGTTGACTCCAAATAATAGTGCCCGGGGCTATCATTACCCCACCCACAGCTAACACGTTGTCAGACGCTGGCACCTGGGCAGACAAATTTTCCTGGGAACCGATTGCAAACTAACATTAGAACTGCTGAGGTGGATGTTTCAAACTACCAACTGGTCATTAACACCACTCTCCCATCCCCCAAGCATTACCCAGACTGATTATATTCAGTATCATGGGGGAGGGCCGCTGCACACTTCAATGTAGGAAGCAGAACCTACGGGAGGAGACAGATGTCCCCAGAATGAACGGGAGTCTGTGCTGACGGCCCCTCAGGTGCAGCTCAGCTCCCAGACCCAAGGGAAATGATAGGCGGCCACTGCTTGGGACCTTCTTTTCTGTGACTTAGGCCAGGAATGTTCACGAATCTTGGCTCTGTGCGACACACCATGCTAACTACTGGAACTCCAGAAAGACCTAAGCCAGCCTCTGCCTTCAAGGAGCTCACACCTAGTTATTGGTGTGGTGGTGTAGGGAAAGGAAAACGTAACAACATGCTGAATGAAGGCGGAAAGGTGTCTCCCAAAGTGCAGAAATGGTGTGAGGCTCAGAAGGGGAATGCTTAATGGTACATAACCAGCAGATAAAGAGGATGCTGGATAGACTGAAGAAGAAACTAGCACAGGACAAGTCAGGAAATACCTATGGGAAAATGTGACTGTGAACTGAACACCAAGCTAAGGGTTTGGGCTTTTATTCTGTAGGCTAGGTGGTGTTTGAGATAACTTCAGCTGGTAAAGGGATAAATTTTATTTTCTCTTATTTTAATAATTACCATATTTATTTTAATGTGTTCTCAACCAGTGTTTCTCAAACTTTAATGTGCATGCAAAACCACCCAAGGTTCCTGTTAAAATGCCGAGTCTGATCCAGTCAGTCTGGGATGAGCCCAAGTTTCTGCATTTCTCACAGTCTCTCAGGGGATGCTGATTCTGCTGGTCCATGGACCACACTTTGAGTAGCAAGACTTCAGATACTCATGGTGTCAGCCTTTTTGAATCTTGCCCACCTCAGCCTCAGAAGCACTTATATTCTCCTGGTCCCCAGGCACACAGGATCCACTCCCACCGCTCACGTGTGCATGCACATGCACACACACACACACACACACACTCTGCTCCTCTTCCCTACTGTCAGGGCGGGATGTGGGATGTAAGCAGGCCTGTTACTGAGGTTCATTAAACTGAATTAGAGGCTGCTAGGCCTCCCCCTTCTTCTCCAGGAATAACCAGAGGCCTCTTGTCAAGTGGACACTTCCATTGTTGGTCAACACCTCCCTACCCCGTTCCAACATCAGCTCATGGAGGGCAGGCTCCCTGTCCAACTTAACAGTACACAGGAAAGCCCCTTGCCTAGAGAAAGCATTTGCTAAATATTTGCTGACTGATTTATCAGGAGAAGGGACTTGTGTGGTTCAATCGTTGAGGAGGCCAGGGAAGAAATATATTATTATGGTTTTTAAAACCATAATCATCTGTACAATTCTAAAGAACTGTATACCTGCCATCCTCCCTGGGCCATGATATTTTCTTAAATTTATGTTTTAAAGGTTTTATTTTCTAGATTTTCAGATGGTTGTGTGTGTGCTGATTGCTACAGCCAAAGGAATCACAGTGGTTATGTGCAAATAATGAATTCATGAAAAGTAAAGGCAGATTTGGAAACCCGCAGAACTCAAAGTTCAGACGCCCTCTGTTGGTTTTCTATCATCTAGAACTTAGGAAAACTTCGTCAAGGGAGGCTGCTTCAGAGCCGAGGAATCAGAGACCTCCCGCTGAGAAGCTACTGTAACACTGGACCTTCTCACACTGTTTTTCATATGCATTATGCCTCATTTCATCAGCTCAAAAGCCATGAAGTGAAAGCCATTTAAAATTCATATACACCGTTAGAAAAGGAGAGCAGAGGGGTTTTTTTTTTAAAGAGGAAACAACTGAGTAAGAAAACCTTTACAAAGTACTTAGTAGGTTTCTGAAGAGTATCATTAAAAATGTCTTTGCTTAGCAGTGTCTTGCTGCTAAGACCAAGACCCCATCCAAACAGTGTCACCATAGTTCACAGAAGTGTCTGCTCTGTTTGTCATCAGCTAAGATTCACCACAACTACCTTCAGTCACTCAAAAAAAAAAAAACTGAATTTCATTATCTGGACATAGAGGACATTGTTTCCAGATCATGTCAGCTATACATGCTGGGTTATTAGAATCTGTGACAGCGAATGAAAAACTGAATATTCCAAGACATTTTCTAACTTTACCTGGATTTGGCTGAAGATATTCTGTGGCTTTTGAAAGAATTTCTGCAACAGCTTTATTGGTAACATCTATTTTCTTAAAAAAAAAAACACATAAGATATTGGTAAACGACATACAGAAAAACAAACAGAGAAATGACTTTCATTAATTTAATACTTATAACACCATTATAATGATTTTAATCCAAATGAATGTTTTCACCACTTTTGAAAAAGGCAATATTTTCTTAACTTTTTGATTCTGGGACATCCTTCCAATGATGGCTCTTCCCAATGATAGTGGAGAACACTAATTTCTTTCTCAACATTAAAATGAATATTAATGTAATATTTAGAAAAACTTGGACAAGCTATTATGCGCCACTAAATTACTCGATATATTTGAAGGTCTCTCAAAACCAAGACTAGACACTTCTGAGACAAACTTTCCTCAACCATGGGTGAACCTGAATTTCTGTACTTACATAAGGATGGCATAACAAGGATTCATATGAGAAACTACCTCAATAAACCCATAATGCAAGAATCATAGTCACTAGTATTATCACAAAAATAAACACCCTTCTGTGGGCAGAAGACGTTAACATCAAAGGCTTCCCTGCCAGGTTAAGACTTAATCTCTCCTTCTGCAAAACCATTCTTGGGCAATCTTGGCTGTTGGTTAACCAGAAAAAGAATGTGAGAATATACAGAATAGTTAACTGTACACATTCTGATAGCTTTACTTCGTACCATCAGTTGCCCAAAAGAAAATGTAAAGAAAAAGGAGATCCCATACATAAGAGCAATTTAAAAATGAGCAATAACAAGGAATAAATATTATGACAAATGCACAATACCTACCTGAAAGGCCACATTCCTAGGTGGGAAAATTCAGTTTGGACAGATGTAAATCCTTCCCCAATTAACATGTAAAATTGATTCAAATCCCATCACAATTTTGATGTTTTTTTCTTTTTTGTTAAAACTTGGCGAATTAATAATAGTTATTTCATGCTTCACACTACATACAGGATTAAAAATATAGACCTAAAAAAAACTGTAAAAGTACTAAATTATACAGGATAATATTCTGAAATACTGCGTGGAAGGATCTTCCAAGCATGACATAAAACCTAAGCATCATAACAAAAAGACCAGAATCCTGACTCCATAAATTTAAAAGTGGAACCGTGAAAAGACACAACACATAAACTTTGAGAAAAGTGGTGAACAGAAAGTAACATGTAAAAAAATAAAGGGTTAGTATCTATTATACTCAGAACTTCCACTGAAAAAAAAAAAAGGCAATCCAACTAGAAAGAAGGGAAAGAAATAAACCAGCAATCCACAAGAGAGGGGAAATACAAGTTGCCTATGAATATTTGGCAAAAGATTCAGAAAAATTGTAAATAAAAAGGAGGTACTTCCCACCCACCTGATTGATCCTAAAAAAAAATCTTTTTAAATTGATTAGACCCAATACAGGGTATTATACTGCTGTGGCGTAATGGGCTTTTTCATATACAACAGGAATACAAAATAATACAACCCTTTTGAGATCCAGGCGGAAGCACCTATTGATGGACCAGCTATCATACTTCCAGGGGTTTATCACCTAGAAACACATGAGCAAACCACACTGAGGTAAAAAGATGTCCCTTAGACCATTTATATCATGTGAAAAGCTGAAAACAATGATAATCAATAAGAGACTGACTGAATAAGCTGTGAAACACCCAAATAAAGGAATACTCTTTAATCACAAGGGGAAAGAAATAAGGAAGATCTGTATGTCCTGGAAAGACGTTTATTGTGTATTGCTAGGGGAAAAACAAGCTCACAGTGATTTATAACACAAACAAAATCAGTTTGGGGAAAACCTGTGATCTCTTTAGGGGGAGAAGCTTTCAAACAAGCAATTTCATTCGGTCTGCAATTCTACTTGCTCCCCTTAAGCTGAATGCTTAAATCTGGGGCCCCAGGAAGGTTTAAAAAGACTGCACAGGAAAGATATTGAAGAAATGAATCAAACCCATATTACTGATACCAGTGAGCTAGCCGTGTGTGCCAGTGGGCGTGTGTGTACGTGCATTTGACCTGGTAACAAGTTTTGTAAACTTTGAACTCCCATCAGTATGTTCAATTGTTTATGAAGCTCTTTGAATTGTTTAAGAGAATTTGATAACCTCAGTGTTTATATTTTATTAGAGTTACAAGAAATGTAAGCACATAGAAAAATCCTGCTTTAGACTTGATGTGAAATTTGAGGAAATCCTATGCATTGTGTTTGTACTGCAGTTTGAAATGTCTAAGAAAATTTGTTTAATTATGTAAATAGTGATAAATGTTTAAGTAAAATGATTATCAACTAAAAATTATCACCATCTTTATACTGAAATTACTAAAATTATAAGTAAGATCCGTAAGTTCAGCTTAAGGCTTAAGAAGAACTCAGTTTTAAATTCATAACTTTATATAAATTCAGTATTAATTAAAACGCAACTTAGAGTGCTCCATTCCATGTACACAACCCTCTTTAGACATGAAAAGCCATCAGGAAGCTAGGTGTCACCTCCAAAGGGTGAGGATGAGAGAAGACAGAGATACTTTCTACTCAGACTCTTCTACAACTTTGGGGGGAAAAAGGTCAAGAAACACTTGGCCAAAAACTCCCAGGCACTGATGTGCACATGCTGGACCTGCTTCCAGGACAGCCCAGGAATCTAAACTGGGAATAAACCCTTTACAAATTAAAGAGACTGACACTAAACATGTTGGCAAGTGTGGGCAATCAAGATGAACAATGAAAAAATAACTTATGTAGTCTGAAAAAATAAAAACAAAACCTCCCTCCTAGAGTAACTGCGGATATTGGGGAGTGGGTGGGTGTGTGTTCAGGTTAACTAAACACAATGCAAGTATCTCGGGACACCATCAGGACAAATAGAGGAAAGTACAGAAGTGAAAATTATTTTTGTAAAGTCCACTTAGTGTGAAGGCATCTTTGCTGGTCAGTTAACTCTGGAACTTCCATCTAGAATTGGTACTCCACCCCTGAGGTTCCCCAAAGCCTGTGCCACTGACACACTGACAGCTCAGTCCCTGAGTTAGAGAGCCGCTGGCAGCCCTAGTTTCTGATAACTGTTTGTCGTATTCTCTTTTAAAAAAAACATTTTTTTTTGAAGAATCCACACTGTCATTTCCTCATGTAGTTTGTTTTCCCCTTTTGCCTCTCTTGCTCACACTTGAGTAGAGGTGGACTTTCAAAAAAAATAGTTCTTGGTTTGATTTATTGATTCTATCTTTTTGTTGTCATCGTTTTTCATTTTATTAATCTCTCATTTATCGGTATTGATTTCTTCCTTTCACCTAGAGTGATTTACTTTGCTGTTATTTTCATAGCTTTTTGGCTTCAATGAGTCACGCTTCTCCAACAATTATTTCCTACTAAATTCAGGTAAGATGTAGCCATGTATCACATGTCTTGATATATAGGGTTCTCATGACTCAATGATCTTTAATTTTACTTTTCATTTCCTCTTGAAATAAGAATTATTTGTACCTGTTTTTCAATTTCCAAACATCCAGAATTTGGAAATTATTATTTGGAAATTACAGGATTCCTTGTAATCCTTGTGTTCTATGATTTTAGTCTGAGAAATTTGTTGAGCTTTGTTTCTATAGCCCAGTATATGACTGGATTATTGAAACTGTTTGAAAGAAGTTTGAAATGAGTATGTATTGTCCATTTGAGGAATGTAGATATTTATATTTAGTTATAATGGAAGTTATTAACCATATTTTATGCAAATTCTCTATGAGCCTATTATTGTCAGTTTAATCTATTATTTTATGAGAAAGGTATGTGAAATCTTTTACTGATTTTTGTCAGTTCTCCATGTGGTTCTGACAGCTTTTACCGTTCATGTTTAAATGCCATGTTGTGTGATGTATAATGGTTCATAACTGCTACAATTTCCTGATAGACTACATCTTTCCATAATTTTTTAAAAACGTCTTTCTCCACTTAGTACTCTTTTGGCATCAAATTTTATTTTGACATTACTATTGCTCCTCCACTTCTGCATGGTTCG